TTTTTTTTTTTTTTTTTTTTTTTTTTTGACACTAGGGATCAAACTTGGGACCTTACCCTTCTAAGAGGCAGGCGGCAGCACCATTGAGGTAAATCCCTGGCCCAGCCCTATTTTTTATATTTTGTGCAGTGCTAAGACTTGGACTTATAGGGCTTTATGAATAGCATGTACTCTGCCACTGAGCTATGCTGCTGACTGCTATGTCAGCTCCTATCTAAAAGCACCTGTATTTATCCCCCTTTTTTTTTTTTTCCTTTCTGAGACAGGATCTCGCTATGTAGTTCAGGCTGGCCTTGAATTCACTATGAAGCCCAAACTGGCCTTGAATTCCTCCTGCCTCAGCCTCTGAGTGCTGGGATTACAAGTGTGCAACGTCACACCCCGCCCATTTAATTACTTCTGTGTGGCTGACATATATTTGAGTTCTTGGGTTATTGCACTTGATCTGCTCAGTGATATTATTAGAGAACTAGTGTCCTTCCCATAAAAAGCTTGCAGCTAGTATACCACAGAGTAACTCTGAATCCTGTGAGTGTATTTTCTGATTTTGACGTACATTGTACACACTGATTTGGCGTGCTGTGACTTTCAGGCACACTTGGAGTGAATTAAAATGAAAATAATTATTTTCTGTTCTTTTAAGGCTACGCAGATACAGAGTCCTAGGAAGTAGTAACTCTGACTCAGACCTTTTCTCTCGCCTGGCTCAAATTCTTCAAAATGGGTCTCAGAAGCCCCGGAGCAGTACTCAGAGCAAGAGCCCAGGATCTCCGCACAACCCCAAGACACCACCCAAGAGCCCAGTTGTCCCTCGCAGGAGCCCTAGCGCCTCTCCTCGGAGCTCATCCTTGCCTCGCACGTCCAGCTCCTCACCGTCCAGGGCTGGGCGGCCCCACCACGAGCAGAGGAGTTCATCCCCGCACCTGGGGAGAAGCAAGTCCCCTCCCAGCCACTCAGGGTCCTCCTCCTCCAGGAGGTCCTGCCAGCAAGAGCACTGCAAACCCAGCAGGAGCAGCCCCAAAGGGTCCAGTAGCCTCCACCATCACCCAGCCAGCTCGAAAGCGCCCCCAGGGAAGAGCAAGCCAGCCAGCAAACTCAGCAGATAGGAACCAGCTGCAGCCCTTCCTCCTGACCTGATGCATGTGTGTCCCCTGTCTATTTAAAAATCAGTATGCTCTTCCCTTATGAAAGAGAGAAACGTGAGGAATTATTTGTAAGCAGATGTAATATATGATAAGGAAGTACTGAAGGCAGGTAGCAGGCAAATAAGAATCCACACCTTTGCCCAGGAAGGGACCATCTGGCAAAAGCTCTGGGGGACTCCTTAGTAAGCTGTCGCTTTCTAGAGATGGTAGGAGGCAGAATGAAATTTTAGGGGTTCACCTAATTTTTTAAGCCTCTTCTTAAAGTTATATCAAGTGTTTGATATTTTCATTCACTTTCCCAACCTTGGAGTCATTGCTCAGATATTAGAGTATATAAGAAGCTGGGTGTGGTGGTGCACACCTGTAATCCCAGCACTTGGGAGGCTGAGGCAGGAGGATCGCATTGAGTTTGAGGCCAGCCTGGGCTCCATAGTGAGTTCAAGGGCAGCCTGAACTGCACAGTGAGACCCTGTCTCAAAAAACAAACAAAAACCCAGTGTGTAAGCCTGTTGTGAGGGAGCCAGTATTTGGTTCATGGAGTTATGTAATGTATTGAAGATCCACACTTTCACTTTGTCTCACTCCAAGTACCCTCCTTGGATTTCACTTTTTTTTTTAAAGTTAGTGTTTGTTATCTAACCCAATTGCTTTTATTTTCATAATACGTCCTGATAGGTCTTTAGCAGCACATGCTAAGAACTTCAAAAACAGTTACCTTTCTTTTAGTCCCTCAATATTTTTCTTTGGAGCAACAATTCTTAGCCCAGTATATTTTTCTTTTTCTTTTCCCTGTTTTTTTTTTTTTTTTTTTTTTTTTTTTTTTTTTTTTGGTATCAGGGGATTGGACTCCGGACCTTGCGCTTGCGAGGCAGGCTGCAGAATCACTGAGCTAAATCCCCAGCCCTAGCCCAGTACATTTTTATTGTGAAAAATAACTGAGAAGCTTAGGTAAAGGACAGAAAAGTCTGACTAGAGCTACATTGCAGGCATTATTGTCTAGAAGGGGCTGTGGCCTCCAAGACGCAGGGAGCTGCTTGCTCCATGGTAAGCCTCGTCCTGGTGGAGGGGCGCATGGGAACAGATGCCTCCTTAGCCTTCTGGGTCCCATCTCTTTCCCCAAGATGATACTAGGGACGCCCAGTGCTTGAGAGTATGACTATACTTTTAGAGATTTAGAAAAATAGATACTAAGTGTGGTATGGAGGCTTATGATCTTAAACTTTGTGTTTTATGCATTTAGCCAATAAGGAATGAATATCTGGGGAAATAAATTTAGGCTAAATATTTTTAAATGTTTTATTCTGCTTCTTCTGTGCTTTAGTTCAGTAGTTGGGCTTCTTGGCCTGAATTCCATGTAATCTCAATTTATGAAGCTGTAAGGGTATTATTTATTCTAACCTCACAATTCTGCTAATAAGAATCAGGCAAAATTCAATGTACAGGTTTTGTAAATGGGCTCTTGTGTACTGTTGTCAGTGTTTTGTGTTGTAAAGACCTTGTTAAGGTTAGATAAGTTGGTCTGCCTGCTGTTGAAATTTGCCTTCTAGCAAATATCTGTGCTTTCTCTTTGACCTTGTATCTGCTGCCAAACCTAATATGGTTGAATTGGAAAAGAAAGAAAGATATTTCCTCACTAAGTGAACATACTCTAATGCTGCATCAACGCTGCCCTGAAGCTGCACTGAACTTACCTTGTTCTCTTTCTGTACCGAGGTTTTTAACAAACAAACTCAAAACACTGTTGAGGCGTATGACTCCCATAAGAAATGTAGCATAGTATGGAAACCTACTTTCCCCCTAGTCTCACGACAGAAGAGTGAAGTAGCTAAGACATTTGCTGTTTCGCTAAAGCAACTGTTATATTGGAAGACCAATCCTTCTGTATTATGTTGTATATTAGTTGCCATAACACTACTTGCATGTCTTCATGGTAAATTATATAAATATTTATAAATATATAGAGATATGCTTATATAAACTCATTCTCATTCACCATTTGTAATTTCCAAATCACAGATGGTGAAATTCCTTTTCTATTGTGTGCCTCGTGTACACTTGGGCTTTGCCTGTCTTCATTTTATGAAAATATGTTCTTGGCCTGTGAGGCCTCAGACTCTTCTTGCCTTCCCTGTGTCTAATGCAAAGGGTTGACAGTCTGTAACAAGCCAAGATAGAATATTTAATTTTCCCTTTGAAGAGATTTTAATGGGGGAAATTATTGGGACATGCTTATAATACTAAAAGATTTATCCATGTTAATCACATAGTTCTGTTCTTACAGTTAGAGTAGACAGATAGAGATTATAACCATGCATTGGATGGAAAATGATTTTGAAAACATTTCCTAAAAGTTGCCATCCTACTTTGCTCTTTACTTTTTTTGTGCGGGGTTGTATAGAGGATAAGTAAAATGTTTTCTCTTTCTCTGTCTTTCTTCCTTTCTTTCTTTCCTGTCCTTTGTTTCTTTCCTTTCTTTAGTTTCTTCTTCTTGTTGCAGTAACTAAATTGTGATAAAGTAGCCAGCTTAAATACTGACCAATCTAGTCAGAAATGTGCCAGTAGTAACCGTCAGAAAAGCTGAAGTCACTTTGTGTTGTTTGCTTTCTGACTGCCATTTCTCTGCTGGTAGTCACAGTGACAGTGATGGCAACTAACATTTTCTTATTTCTTTTTTTTTTTTTTTTTTTTTTTTTATTCTGTTTTTCAATCTTTCCACATTATCTGCTTTTCTAAGTAGCATTAACAAACTCATCAATATCCAGAGATAAAAGCCTCATTGTGTAAAATATTTTATTTTGCATGTAGAGAAAAGAGTTAACCAAAGATGTTTCTGCTCTGACACTTTCAAAACAGACTAATCATAGCTTATGTATGAGTAGTTCCATTTATAAGTACTGTCCTTAGCTAGAGAAAGTTAATAATTTTAGATGTTAGATGTCTCTCAGGTTAAAAATAGAAGTTGGCAGCCCTCAGCTAGCATTTTTGACAAGATTTTTTTTTATTTTAAAGGTCTACACAGAGAACAAAGTTTTAGTTTTGTGTATTATTATTTATTTTTGAGTTTTTTAGTATATTTCAGATTGAGGTCACAGATCATCCAAAGTAAATTAAGCCTGTTTGGTTATTTTATTCCAGATGAGAAACATGGCCACTAACTAAAGTCAAACCAAATAACAATAAAGTAGTATGGGACAGAAGTTAAAATCTGCTTTCGACTCCTGGCATTTCCTATCATAACAGCCGGGCGGGCTGCTAAGACCCACTTGTCTCAGAGATTACTTGGGAGGGCAGAACACAGAAGTGGCAGCACTCAAAGTGAGCATGATGGCGCACACCTGTGATCCCAGCACTTGGGCAGCTGAGGCAGGAGCATTGCCTCAAGTTGGATTCCAACCTGGGCTGCGTAGTGAGTTTGAGACCAGCCTGAACTCCGCAGTGAGACTCTGCCTCAAAAACAGCAGCAGCCACAGCAGCAGTGGCAGGGGCTCAGTCCCTCTCCTGGATTAGGCTGCCAGCCCTCAGGTCTTTGAGTTGGTTGGAATGCTAAACTCCACCTAGTAATCTGGCACAGTGTAGAGGCTTTTGACTCTACTGATGATTAACAAAGGACAGTGAGTCACAGCAGATGTAACAGGAAGGTGCAGAGTGTAAATCGGCTCTGAATGTTAAGCCTCAGGCAGACAGGCACTCTCATTCTCAGCTCTGGTACGCAAGCTGGCCTTGCTGACAGTGGCACAGATATTTACTGATTTTTAAGTTGAACATTTCAAAGTAAATTTTTTTTTAACAGTTGCCAAGTGAATTAAGTCTTGAGCAGCAGAATGGTAGTTGAGACCCGCTGTGGTCCTGATGGACTTCCTGAGCTGCTGCCTCCTGTGCACAGTTCTAGCCTGCAGTCGGCCTGGCTTCTGAGGCTGTGGGGCCTGAGTGTCTCGGGTCTGTTGCAGAACTGCTGCTGGGCTGCAGGCTGCTGCACTGTTTCTGTAGTCACCTCCTCTGCAGGGAAAGAGTGTAATTGGTGTGTGTTTTATAAACCCAGATGCAGATAGTTAAAACCATAATTAGTTTTTCTGTACCCAGTAGCTTTGTATTAAAAACTAATGCTGAGCCAGTGATTTAGCTCAGTGGTTCTGCCACCTGCCTCGCAAGCATAAGGACTCAAGTTTGAATCCCCAATACCAAAAAAATAAATAAAAACAAATGCTTTTTTCCAAGAGCAAACAATTTTGTATTACTAATCTAACATTAGGAATTGGTGAGAGGAGAAATAAGATCCAGAATTCAAACTCTTATGGCTAAGAGGGAAATGCATCTTGCTCTGGCTATTTGAAAATACATTTATCTATAGGTAATCTAGGTCTTGGAGAGCAAAGTGCTTCATATTTTAAAAACCTTTCCGTTGCTTGTTCTCTATCAAAATATGGCCTTAGAGAATTCTTCTGTCTGTCATATCTGTCAGGTGCTGCAGAGTCCCACTTTGCGTTCAGTCTTTTAAACTCTGCCCTTTTCTGGTTCTGCACACTTTATCTCCAGTGCATCTGGGCTTTTCTTCTGAGAAGGAAGAGTTCAGTAACTGTGTCACAGAAGACAGGGGTGGTTGAGTTGATGATATAGACAATTAGTGGAACAGCTGCATGCCTAGAATTTGATATTTGAAACACCATCATGAGGTTAAGGTGCCTAACTACCCTGGCAGTCCTGTGTGTTAGTGCCCTGCATCCAGGATGCTAGTGCCTCTTCACACCTTAACTGAGAAGACAGAACTAGGGTAGTCCCAGCCCTCAGGCCAGCGGAGACAGTGCCTGTAGAACCCCGAGGTATCAGCAGAATAGCTCACTTGCTGTCCTCTCCTAGTGCGATTATAGTTATGTACTGCAGGTGTGTGAGCAGAGTGGAAGTCCATCGTAGTGTTAGACATTATCCGTGTTTTAGCTGTACCTTGTACAGTCTTGGGGCTTTTGGAACCTGTCGTTCAGCATTACTAGTGAGCAGGCTGGTCTCGAACTCACAGCGATCCTCCTGCCTCAGCCTCCCAAGTGCTGGGATTACAGGCATGCACCACCACATCCGGCTGGATGCTGTACATTTTAACCCCAGAGAAGTCTCCAGCGGGACATGGCTCATCAAGACATTTTCTAACTCAGTTGTGATTGTCTGCTCCTACTTTTAAAAAATGTAAACTTGAGGGCCATGGATTTAGCTCAGTGGTTCCACCACCTGCCTCAAAAGTGCAAGGTCTCAAGTTCGATCCCCAAAAATTTGATTAAAAAAAAAAGTTATTCCCTTTGAGTAAAGTTGGGTCAGAAAATTAAGAGTGTGTAACAAGATAAGGATTGCTCTGAGGGTCCATATAATGTCGGGATGCTGAGTGGCAAAGATGTAACGCTTACTCAGTAGTGGTCTAAGTGTTTCCTCAGTTGGCTGGAGACAAATGGTACAGTGACCTGCGCAGCCTGCGGGGCCCCTGCCTTCTCTGTAATGGGAACTGACAGTATGAGCACCACACTGGTGATGCTGGCCGTGTCTCCCAGATACCCTGGGCCAAGGTCCTTTGCAAGAGCAGGATATGTGAGGCAGATCTTTGAGCCCATGGAACTGCAGTTTGCTGCTCATTTTACACTAACAGTGGGTGGGGCATTTACCTCCTTTGAGTACTTCAGTACCGCTTCTTATTTTGTCTGTGCACATTCACTCCTGTTTAAAGCCATTGAGTCAGTCAGTCTGTATAAAGACTACCCTTGCCACATGCTGCTTTTTCCTCGTATGTAGTCCAAATCTCTAAAAGCCATCTGCAACACCTCACCGTACCAGGACTTTTTCTGGCATTCTTCACTCACCTGCAAGGGTAAACAGAGCCACCAGAGTTGGACTGATGTATTTTAGGAAGCCACCCAGGGAAGGGTAAGTCTGGGGATTTTTTTTCCAAAAACCTTCCTTTTAAACTGTACCACATAGTGAGATTAGTTCACTAAGTACTTAGAGAAATTCAAAGAAAAGGAGATAAAGGAAATACAACTCTGGGCCCCCGGGGTTGTGACACTGGACTGAAGGGCTGAGTTCTAAGGAGAGCTCGTCCGATGACCCGGGTTGGGGCTGTCCTCCCCTTCCCTGATTGCCAGTTCCTGATCCTGGCCCTTTTCCTAAGTAGAGAGTTCTATTTCATTGGGTCATTTACTCTAGGAAAAGGGTGGGAGGTTGTAGGTTTCAGTGCAATCTAAATTTTGAAGGTTACACGCTATCGGTAGCTGTGAGATCAGATTCAGCCACAAACCAGAATTCTCTCCTGCCCAAGACCAGTGAGTTAGAGTAGATAACGTTAATAGTCTATTTTTCTGACCCCTCTCCTCTTTGTGAGACCAGAAAGATGAGAAGCTGCTCTTTGAAATACCTCAAAGGTATTACTTTATATCGCTCTCCCCACCCTTCAGCTCCCTTTTGCGTTTTGCTCAGGCAACCAAGGACATGGAGTATTGGCAGAAACATGGAGTGCTTTTGTATAGGTCATCTGTACATAAAAGTGTAATTATTTATTTAATTTTCCCATTTGTATCATATTAAAGCTTTGTACAGTGTTTTAAGTTCTGTTTTAAAATTATTTTGTATTTTATTTTTATAATCTAGTAATAAAATATTCATTCCGCATGCAACTCTAGTTCTGTTTGATGGCTTGTTTTTAAAAAATTGGAAATGTTTTTACAATTAAAGTTTTAAATGCACTATGTGTTATAAGAGTAACTTGGAGGAAGTGTTAACTCTAGAAAAAGGGACCAGAAGTGACCTAGAAAGAAGCCCTGTGCTGAGCATAGAAGTCCAGTGTCTGCGTGTGAAAGCAGAGGTAGATTCCCGTAACAGAACTGAAAGCCCTAAATGGACCTCTTCACTCCATCCGATCTGTTCTTTTCCATAGAAAACAACCCGTGTGTAGCTCAGTAGCACCGAACCTGCCTGGAAAGCGCAATTTATTTTGATTCCTGGTACTGGAAAACAAAAATGTATTAACACTAGCAGGACTCCTGCTCCCATTTCTCCTTCCCTGGGACTTCTGTGCACCTCAGGCAGCAGAATGACCTGAACGGTTAATGCGTTTTCTTCAGCCTGGATTCCCTCTGTAAGCCTCTCGCTGAGAAACAGCACCCAGAGCCGGCCGTGGTGACACATACCTATAATCCCAGCACTCCAGAGGCTGAGGCAGAAGGATCGCTGTGAGTTGGAGGCCAGCCCAAACTACATAGCAAGATCCTGTATAAAAAAAACAAAGCAATGCTCATTTATTTAAATTTTATTCAAAATAAGGGGTAGCCAGGCACGGTATTGCACACCTGTAGTCGGGAGGCTGACCTGGGATACACAGTGAATTCAAGGCCAGCCTGAACTACATAGTGAGACTCTGTCTCCAATCAGTCAATTCAAATCAAAATAATGGAGAAACTAGGAGAGTAGCTCAGAGGTTTGATCTCCACATCATCATCATCATAAAGATTATCTGGGCGTGGTGGTACAGTCTGTAGTCTCAGCACTCAGGCTGAGGCAGGAGGATCACTACATTGGAGGCCAGCCTGGGCTACACAGTGAGTTCAAGTCCTGCAGCAGAACGACTGCACAGGGAGGTCTTATAAAAGGAGAGAGATCTCCCAGGAGCTAATCATGAATATGGTTACAACTACGAAGGAGTTGAAATATTAACCTGGTACAAACCCATTATTACAATGCATAAAAGAGTAAATAAGGCTACAGGCTTCTGTGCCCCCGGTGGCCTGAGAACTTAAAAAAGCTTAGCAAGATCGTTTGTGGCGCACACCTGTAATCCCAAGCAGGAGGCTGAGGCAGGCAGATCCGGAGAGTTCCACGCCAGCTTGGGCTATGGAGTGAAGTTTGAACTGAATTACACAACGAGACTCTGAAAGAAAAAAAAGCTAATCAGCAGTCAACTCTCAGCATAAGTTAAAAAAAATAAATAGCTAATCAGTTGAGAGTGCGTGCTGGAAAGTGAAAGGTCAGATTTTGAGACGGACTAAAGGGAAGTTAGGTAAGGTCCTGCGTGGTTTTGGTGCAGTTCCTGGGAGGGACGGTGTGCTCCCGGCCGGAAGATGCAGGGTGGGGTCTCAGAGATCTCCTCGCCGGCCTGAGTCTCAGGGCGCTACTGACCCCCTGCCTCCTGCGCGGACTTCGGGCCAGAGCCGGAGTCC